CTGATAGCACATGAATAAAACATAATAGCTATAAGTTTCTTACACACAGCTGTGCCAGTTCACCTAAATCATAGTCTTCTAAACTCTGTGGTGCCAAATCAGAGGCTCCTCTGACTCCAGACAACACGTCAAGTGGAATGGTGTTCGGTTGTGCAACGCTTTTGGTGTGTGACAAAATGTCCACTGGGGATTTAAATCGAGACTAGGGGAGCTATCCTCCCACTGCTCCGTGTTTCATTTGTGCCTTGGTCTGCATGACAAGAAGTCAGAGGAATATGCCAGCACTTTGCTCCCCTCCCTGTGCTCCTCTGCCCCAGCAGCGTTTCTTGCGTTCTGGGCACATGTACAACTGGCGAAGGAGCTGCATTCTGGAAGGCCCTTTATTGATTAGGTGCAAAATAACATCAAGGAGTGAATAATAAGTATTATCTGAAAAATGTAGTTGCATGTCTTGCCCTTGTAAACATTTACTATTTAATGGTGTAATTGTACTTTAATCCTTCACATCATCTAAGTCTTTGTGCTTTTCTTTTAATTAGCAACACGCAATCCGAAAAAAGCAAAGCCCAGAAAGTTTGTACGCACCATAAAAAGCGCAAATAGTTTTAAAATTATCAAATATTCTTTCTTTGGATGTAAGCCTATCTTTTAAAGTCAAAAGAGAACTTCATTGGCACAGGGCAGGAAAAAAACTCCATAATTCATGACAATACCAAGAAAAAAAGTTCTTTTCCAGAAGGACTGGAAAGGGCACCTTTATTTATCTTCTGGACAGACAAAAATAATAGAAGCTAGACCAGATATGCTGTAATTAATGTATCCAAAGGTCAACAGGCAATGGTATTTATACAATAAATGGGTGCAGACTACGCTGGTTATAGTATTAATCACCAGTATTTGAAAATAGCATTGTTTTCTTACTAGGTAAGAACTTAAGAAAGTTTCAGAAACTTTTCTTTTTTTTTTTCCTCTTACCTGCCTGCTATTCTTTTTACCCAATTGTTTTTTAACTCATGAACTATAATATTTTGGACAAATATACCCAAGTTTACAGTTGCCCAGGACTGCCAAAAACAGACCCAGACTACCTCACTAGTTGTGTTGAGGAAACTAAATTAAGTAAGGGCAAACATCAACTGGAAAGTTGTCAGTTTACTGAATGAATGGCTTCATTTTACACACCAGTTAGAATACCTTAATCAGAATATATTTCTGTTCAAGGCCAATACTTTCACTACCAGGTGGCAGTTCGTTCTACTTGAAGCTGCATTAAAAATGCAATTCATTTCCACTATACTTTCACCTAACAAAAAGGGTTGTCAGATTCCCAGCCTATCATGTTCAAAAATATTTAAGCATAAACTTTCTCACAATGTTATATTTGGTGTTACCCACAAACCTTTATTAAAGCGATACTGCCAGTGTGGCTTCAGTTAAGATCTGACAATGTTTCCATTAAGATTATTACATTAAAATATTGTCAAGAGTTTGTAAGAAACATAAATATTCATATACATACAGCCCCCCCAGCCTTAGAAGGAAAGTTCCACATAAAAAGAAAAATTTAAATACGTACCAAAAGTTGCCTGGTTGCAATTACACTTTGGTTTTTTTCCTAAATGTCTCTGCTAATTTTTTAACTCTTTCACACTGTAATGTAAAATAGTTTTATTTCAAAGCAACTGGCTGATAAAGTGCTAAAAGAGGTAATTCGCATGAACAGAAAGTAATTAGTCATTGTTTGCACAATGCTTTGAAAATACAAAACCCAATGTGTCAACTAGCATTAAAATATAATACAATTGGAATACACAGATTTGACAAGAAACAATTGCATGTCACAGACACTCCAGTCCACAGACAAGAATTAGTACTTTGCTGTTATAAATGCAGTATCACGATATGTGGATAAGAGCGTTCTTTACACTCAGCCAGAGCATGCATGATAATAGTGTGCACCATGAAAGTTTACTACAAATGCTAGAGAAGATATTATTGAAAATAATCCTGCTATGGATTCATCAAATGTTACTGAATTTACTCTCACTGATAAAAATGTAAGTCAACCCATAAAGCTACCATATAAATTATACTAAAAATGCATTAAAAACATGAAAGGATAACCTGGCTGCCTCGCGTTTGATGCCCAAAGAAGTCTCAGATCTGTGAAGTTGTCATTTACATTCTTTTCCTTTATTAACAGTGCTATGAAAAAAAAAAAAAAGCTATGCTCTCACAGGCAAAGACTGCTCAGTGTTATTTGGAGTCTGTTTTAGAGGATCACAGGCAATACATGTAAACTTAAAAGCTGATGCAACTTTGCCCTTTACTTACTTTGTTGTGACTACGTATATGCAAAGTTTAAAACAGACAAAGTTATTATACACAACCAAAAAAAAAAAAAGCGATAATCAGACAGAACAGGGTGGATTAGGAACTGACTGTTTTCTCATGTCTAAACTCCCTTGATTTTAAAAAGGTGAAGCAGACTTCTGTTGTCACAGTCTGAGGATAAACTAGTATACAGGCACTGATGCACTACTGAACTTCAGAATCACTGATTCTTTGCGGCAAACCTCAGGCAGGTATACATTATTCAAGAGGAAAAAAGAAAAATACTTTTTTTTCCCATTACAGAGAAAGGTTCCACTTGTTTGGGTTGACCATATTATTAACAGACTTTCATTCAGTGGTTAAAATAGAAAGAAAAAAATCTTTCAAAGTGTTGATATCATTTCCAGACAGTCCTGTCAGCATCACAATTTACAGGAAATAGTTGATGTTCTCACACAAACCGTGTGTTTACTCATACACCCAGAGTACTTAAAAAAAAAAAAAAAACAACCTTCACTCTTTTGGAGGTTTTTTTTTTTTTAAATGTCACTCTGGTGGAATATCTGAGAGAGCTGTCTAACCTAACACACAGATTGTGAACATGAGGCAAACACAGACTGCAGTTCAGAAGACTACTGTAACTTTTATTCTCATTTTGTCCACGTCAGGAACTGGCTCTTACCACTACTTTCCTTTGCTGCCCCTTGCATTTTTAACTCTGGCAGTCTTCTCTAAATGTTCAGCTTTTACTAAAACCAACAGGAAAGTAACATGATGCCACCAACATCCACAGGATTCGGCTGCGCGTAGTTGAAGACAGCCCGAGTGACAAAAAAGTTTGATGGTTCCTTGAGAGACTTTACTGAACTCAATTAAATATAACCTGAGACGCATTAAATTATTGTCTCTTTCCATCAGCATTCAAAATGGGCTGCATAGTGTAAGAGCAGTGAAGGCAGCATGGGCTGAAGAGCAGCCTACATTTTCTTTGCTAGACAATCTTTCCCCCTCGGAAGGGACTTGTCGCCTTGGCTCCCCAAGAGCGCTGGGGTGACCCGGCTCCTGCTCTGCCAGGCAAGGTGCTCGCACTGGCGGAGAAGAAGCGATGGAGGGAAGACGTCTCTCCAGCTTATCACTTAGTCAGCTTAGCTCAGTCAGGGCACTGAAGAAGTTTGCCATTTGCAGATATAAAACACAACCGGTCGAGGAAAAAAAAAAAGATAAAGGAGACTAGCGGGCCCCACTAGAACCCGCGTAGGAGTGCCGGGGTGTCTGAGCTCCGTGATTTGCAGCAGGGAGGCAGATAAACAAAGTCCCCGAAATGTCAAGCCCCCTCAGGGAGCCTCTCGTGTCCCAGGGCAGCGCGCAGCGGCCGCAGTCCCGGGCCAGACCCTGCGCTGCCCCGCAGCCACGATCGCCCACCCGGCCCCGGCCGCGGAGCGCCCACCGCAGCGCTGCCCTCCAGCCCCGGCCTCGCCTCCATTCATTGCTCCCTTCGAAAGCCACACGCGGGTGGCTGCAGAGGGGGCAGCCCCCGTCGCAGCCCCCGGGCCGGGGGCGGGGAGGTGAGACGCTCCACGAAGTTGTGGCAGGCAGGGAGAGCCGGGCGCGGGGACGCAGCGCTGGCAGTGGGGCTTCGCCTTTAAGAAGGAAAAGTTTTACGTCTCTGTGTCTCTGATTAAAAAAAAAAAAAAAAAAAACCAAAAAAAACACCTAAACAAAAAAAAAAAAATCACCACCACCACTATGTCGCCTGCTACCCCGGTGCGACCGGGAGGGATCCCAAGCCCTTCTCCCGGAGCAGCACCGCTCCGCACTCGGCCTCTCCCGATGTGTCCCAGGGAAAGGAGAGGAAAAATAGGAAGGGAAAAAAAATTAAAAGGGAAAAAAACGGGGGAAAAAAAAAAGAAAAAAGTTTTTCCCAAACTTACTACTCTTCATGATGGTGTCTCTGTGCCCCGTTTGTCATGATCCCCATTAAAACTTCCAGCAGCGGCAGGAGCGGCAGGACTGTGCGACTGCAGCCCATCGGATGCGAACCCTCTGTGCTCGTCTTCTACTTCCACCCCCCGCGTCTCCCTTCCCCTCCCCCCGAGCGCCCCGGTGCCGGGGAACCGGCGGCCGCGGAGATAAGGCGCGGAGCGGCGCGGAGGGGAGGGCAGAGCAGAGCCGCACCAGCCCGCGGCCGCCGCCGCTCCCCTCCCCGCCTCCGCGCCGGGGGGCTGCTCCCCCTGCCCGCCGCCGCCGCTGAACTTGACCCTCCCGACTCCAGCGGGGCTACCGCCGTTTTGAAGTCGCCAATTTCCAGCCATCACACATGGCTTTGACCCTCCGGCGGGGGGAATGGGGGGCGCGGGGGGTGGGGGGTGATGCACCGAGAGAAGCCTGTGAAATCCGAGCAGCCCCCGTTGCCTGGGATTATGCCCACCCACCCGCCGCTTTTGTTGTTGTTGTTGTTGTTTTTATTTTTTTTTTTGGGGGGGGGGGTATTTTGGGGGGAGGGGGTGCACCCCGCTGCCCCCCCGGGCACACGCCACGCTGCCGCGGGCGCCGCGCCCCCGCCCCGCTGCGCCCCCCCCGCGCCCGCCACCGCCGCGCCGCCCCCGCCCGGCCCGCCGGCCGCGGCGCCCTCCCCGCCGCCCCCGCCCGCGCCCCCCCGCGCTTACCTGTTGATTAACCGGCAGCAACAGCCCCAGCAGCCTGGAAGATGGTGGAGCCGCGGCGCGAGCCATGAACCGTCTCCTGCTGCCGGCGGAGTTGGACGCGGATTATGTGGCGGTGGCCGGGGAGTGGGGGGGGCGGGGGGCCGCGGCGCCGCTGCCTCCCCCCTCGGTCCCGCTCGGCGGGGAGGGGGCGACGGGCCCGCCGGCGGGCGGTGCGGTGCGGCGCGGGGGCGGGGGCGCGGCGGGCCGGGGGGCGAGGGCCGGGGCACGGCGCGGCGGCCCCGCCGGCAGCGAGGCGGCGGCCTGGGAGCGCGGGGCGGCCGGCGCGTTATCGGGACTGTTATCGCTTGTCAGGACCTCCGTCTCCCCGCATTACGTCAGTTTCAAGACACCAACACTATTAATATCAAAGGAGCCTTCGCGGAGGAAAGCGCCACCCCAGACGGAGCGCCCTTAAAGAGACAGTGCAGGCGGCCCCGCCGCGCGGCCCGCGCCGCCCCCCGCCGCCGCCTCCGCCCGCCGCCGGGCCACGGCCACGGGCAGCGCGGGCCGGGCCCGCCGAGCCGGGCGAGCTGAGGGGGCGCGTCGCCCCGCGGCCGCGGGGACTTGCGCCGAGTTGGAGCAGGGATAGCCGCAGGCCACAGGCGCGCCCCCAGCGCGGCCCGCGGCAGGCGGCTGTGCCCGCGGCTGTCACTGGGACCCGCGGCTGCCCTGCAGGATTGGAAACGGTGGCGGTGGGGTAAAAGGCGCGACCCACGCGCGCCGGTAGCTGCCGCCCTCGGGAGACCCCAGCCCTGCAGAGTCGGTGTCACCTCTCTGCCTGCCCCGTGCCCCCCGTTTGTGTGCGGGTGCTGAGGCGGGTGGGCAGGCAGTTCCCAGGCTGAGCGATGAACAGTCCCGTTACCGCCCGCGCTTTGATACCGGTCGCAGGTCAGCCTCGAGCCCATCCGAAAAAAACCTCACAAGTTTTCCTCCTCGTGCAGAACTTTTTCAATTCGAAATACTCTTATATCCCCCATACTACGAACTGCCAGAAGTCTGCATGTCAATGTAAAAACTGTCTCCAAGGAGAACCAGTACATAAAAGGTTCCTATGAAAGGGTTTTAAAATCCCAAATATAGTAGGCGTTAAAAACTATGTAAACATTTGTTGGGCATTTGGACACAATTTTTCTGCAGTTAGGTGACTTTATATGGCGTGCTTTTCCTCCCATGCAAGTTGTTTTAAGCTGATTTCGCGTTCAAATAGATGCATTCTGCTTGCTTGTAACTACTAGCATTATTCAAGGAAGAAGCTGGAAAAGAGCTAAATGATTACAGTTGGAGAGTTGAAGCTGCTTCCCCCCAAATATTTGAAATTACATAACTTTTTCCTTCTAATTTTACTCTCAAACACCGGTAAAGTGTAAAGCATAAAACCTTCAGAGATACATGGTGACGCAAATGAAACCCTATTGTAAAACTTATGGCATTCTCAGCCCTCGCTCCAAACTTAAATATTCTTCATACATGTTTAATATAATCCACTGGCAGATTTGTAAAGTAATTGCTTGTGTAAATCACCCAGGAACACATTTCTCCCTCAAGTTCTTTTGTAGGATTGTCTGATAAAGCACTTTATGAATAGAAAAGCAGTAATTCACATACAAGAGGTGAACTTGTCATGTTGAAAATGGAAGTTTGCATGATTAGGCAGACACAGTAGGATCCCCGACACAGGGAAAGGGGAACTCACTGATTATGTGTGGTATTCCCTCTGTACCCATCCACAGAAAATGAGTTTGGAGCTGCAGAGGCATACATTGAATAGGAGGGAAAGTAATCCCAAAATTTAAAGTTTGTTACCAAGTATGCCTCAGTACTTAAGTACCTCATGCTTAGTAGCCCCTCACTCTTATGTGCACAGACAGCCTTTCCTGACTTCATAAATTTACTTTTTCACAAGCTGCAAATGCCATGGCTGAACCACAGCCAAAGAGACAAGCCTCTTCCACAAACTTTAGTGAATACAGAACTCTGAAAAGCAAGTATTTTTGTCATATCAATTCAAACATGTTTTTCTCAACAGTTTTCATTTTTTTATTTTTACTGAGCATGTCGGCCCCAAATGACTGTTCACTTGGCATATATCTTGCACAGGAAGGGTTAAAATAGGCAGGTTACTTGGCTAAGCATCTTACAAGCAGGGCTTGAGTGGAAAATATTTAAAGAAGAGTTATTTCCCTATACTTCTCTTCTCTGGTGAGACTTATTAATATCTTTTTATTTTAAACCAGGAAATGATGCCCCCCGCACCTTAAATCCCAGCAAGTTCTTATGTGTGGCTGTAGCTTTCCTAAATTTTATTCACATTATGACAGACAAACTGTGAAGATCGATAACAGCAAAAACACAGATTTCAATGTGTGTAAAGTGTGATAACAAAGACACCATTTTTCACCTGTAGAGCAGAATTATAGAGATGTGTTTTTAAAGGACATAAGTATCTCTGTGCATGCACTTTTAAAATGAAACCGCAAAGGCAAAGCCATTCATAAACAAAGATGAGAAGGACACAACATGTCTTCATAGTTTCAAGTGGACAACTCTAATGAAATACTCTATCTCTCAGAAAAAGTTTGTTACCGTATCTTTATTAGAAATGCTTTCATGATACATTCTGCATTTCAAGTTAAAATAAAGCAGATCATGAAGACGTCAATATGAATCTGTTTATATTCACCACAAATAACTGTAGAGAACTTAACAAAGGCAAAAAATATTTTTATATACGTTTTTCAGGCAAATTATTTATTTATTAAATAATTTACAAAGAAAATTTTTACCTTATGGCTTAGATACATTGCATATGCTTATGATTGACACAATATGTTCAGGCTCAAAGGCCCATATAGACTTGCCCCCGCTTTTTTGCTTTTTTTTTTTTTTAATTTTATTCCTAGCAGGAATATTTCAAAAAGGCCAACTAATTCATGAAGTCATACAATAATTGTTTGACAGTTGTTTCCAATATAGGAAAATAAGTTATGTATATTGTTTTCATTCAAATATTTGTTGATTTGTTGTTAGAATGCTTTGACATTGACATGCCACAAATTGCATTAGGAGAAATATTGTAGATTTATTTTCATTTATTATCTTTTGCTGTCAAACTTTTCCAAAACCACTTAAAAGAATTTTTATTTCACTTTGTTCAAAACTTTTAGTCTGCATGAAAGTAGGTTGTTTTTCAAAAAACAAGTTCAGCTTTCTCTAATCGATAAGAGCTGAGGAAATGAAGGAAAAGCAGCAAAGCGAGAAGATGCACAAAGTGCTGCTTTCACTGAGAGGCATGAACAAAGTAACTTCTAAATAATGCTCTGGATTTTTTTACAGTCAGGCACATTCTCCATTGAGGGAGAATACAGAGGCCAGTCACAGTTGCTTCTTGAAGGAAAACAGTATAACAGTCATTGTTTATCAAGATGACATAACATGCCATTTTTGCCTTTATTGTTTAATGCAGTTTCTCTTGTAGTTTACTCAGCGTAGATACAAAGAGGGATTAACAGTAAAGCATAAGCATACTTGTTTTACAATTTCAGCCTTTTAGTGCATAACTTACTGAAAGTACTAGGGCCTATAATCACAATGATTTTACCTGATGGAACATGCATTTCTGAAATATAATCCAACTGTTTACCCTAACACGTCATAAATTGCAATTCCTTACAAAAACCTCAGAGATTGACATCTGTTGCTCTTAAATGCCTGCTGCTTTAGCACACATCATCAAGAAAGTATTTCTGTGTTATTCTCCCTCTGGTTGGTAGTATATTACTTGAATTCTAAAGACAGTTCTCTTATACTGTCTTCAGTAATGAACATTTTGAGAAGCACTTAGTTATGTGTCTGAGGCACTCCGGTACGAGATTCTTGGGACCATAGACACGGCAACTTGCAGAATTTCTGCAGACCCACGTCTTTTCTTTGCACAACTTTTGTCACATGAAATCGTCGGGAAACTTTTGTTCCCTGTCTTACACCCTGCACAGAGTCAAGTTTCTAAACTTCAAATTGTGTGCCAAAGGCTAAAAACTACCACTGATTTTCAAAGAAATGGGACTGGGGACTCTAACGATGTGATTGAAACGTCTCTGAAAAGAGATTATGCGTTGTGATAGACAGGGCAGCGCTGAGAACAGCCAATGAAACAGCATGCAACTGAAGAGCTAATACCATGGCATCATCCCAGATTCAACAGATGTTTTCTAGGGGGATTGGATATCTGGTAATGGGAAATGGAACCTTTCTTTTCTATGTCACTGGTTTTAACACAGGCCAGTAGCAATGGAAAGTCAATAATAAGCGATGCTTGTTTGGTAGCTCTCTCCACTGCGGGGTACAAGAACGTCCCCCTGACTGCAGCACACCGTGGCTGGCTGGTACTTCCCTGCAGCCCGGTGGCACTGCTGCCAAAAGGGCCTTGCACAGCACTGCGTAGAAACCCTTTTCCCTGGGAACAGCCTCCCGGGGAGGGATGGGGAACACCGACCGGGCACAGACTGCTCCTGCTAATGGTGTGTCTGCAGATAGTTAAATAACTCTGGCAGCCGCAAAAGATAATTTATCACTTTACACTATCATAAAATCTACTAGAAAATTAAAAATGCTATAACACCAGACTCCCTAAAATCATTTACATGCAGGAATCCACATAATTGTATAGATTTTGATCTTAAAAATGCTATGTAAAAGGCATTCATCCAAAGCTCTGAAAAGCCTCACATGCACATACACATTCACATGAAGTAATACATAATGAGTGTCTCCTAACAAATATCAATAAAAGAAGTGGCAGCATTTCTTCCCACATCTCAACTGCAAGATCAGCAAATCAAAACAACCTGAGCCCCCTGTCTTGTCATCACCCGCTGCCAGACAGAGCCACTACCTTTCCCTCCCTCAATTCCATATTTATCCTGCCTCCAGCATTTCTGGGAAGGTTAATCTGGATTGGTTAAAAGTCTGCTGAAGTAAAAAAAAAAAAAGGTATAAGTGAGTTTAGCAGTGTTTACATTAGGTC